CTAAACAAACCAAAAATGTGCTAGATACTTTATAGTTACTCCATCAAGCATATAAGCATTGGCTTAACTAGCATATGCCTTTCTCCTTACATCAGGCAGGTATTCAAGATAGTCGAACTGAGATGTGCTCATGTTTTCCCCTTCATCATAGCCATGGAAAAACTGACTAAAGATATGGGAGGCACGCAGGACTCAGATTACACCTGTCAATTTTGTTGTGGGACCTCCTAAGGATACATCAAAAGTGTTCTGCTGGAGTCTGTCAAGGCACCTGACTATGATTATCATTATTAATGACATACTTTCCAATATAATAATATTTAAGGCATCTGACTATGATTATAATTATTAATGACATACTTTCCAATATAATAATATTTAAGGAAGATATGTTTTGATCATCTGTCACCATAACAATTGAAAACAAAACATCTATGCATGAAAACACACAAAAATAGAACAACTGTACAATAATGTGTATTAATCTTAGTGGTGGGCATTTCCTAAGTCTAGAGACTAAAGAAAACAAAGTAAAAGACAGATTTTATTCTGAAGTTAAAATTTTCTGTTAAAAAATAATTAAAGCCTCCAAATTAGTAACCTTTTAAAAAATGAAAATATAATGAATAATTTATACAAATGGATGTTTTAAAAAATAAAAGTCTGTAGAAGATAAACAAATGGAGTTTTAAAAATAATTATTCACAGTGAAACTGAGAACATATACCAAGAGGGAGGGGAGAAGGGGATATCATTATAGTCTTAGAATTGTATCTACATACAAATACACTTCTTTTACAGTTTTTCTGAGATTAGATTTTCTTGTTATTGAAATTAGAATAATAGTATCTGTCTAATAAAATGCTTAATACATGATATTTCCCTTCCTTTAATTTTATATTTTCTTTGTTCTTAATTTTATTCCCATAATTGTTAATTGTTATTACAAACATGGGTGTACCACCCCCGACACACACATACACATAGAAGTTAACCAGAGCATCTGTTTAAAATCATCAATGATTTCAAATTACTATCTCATTATAAACTGCATCAAATAAAATGGGATTCAAGCTCTTCTATAATTTAGACTGAATGAGATTTCCAGGTTTTTTTCTTTCTAAATTGTCAACCTCTAGCTAGCTCATTTGAATTGACTGCTATCCCTCATGCTTAATGTAACTTCCCTGAAGTTCTATATTACCTGCCGAACTGGGATGCTTTTCTATCCATCTTTATCTGGCTGCTCTTCAAAGCTCAGGATAATCTTCCCTCTCCAACATGATTGCCTAGAGTGGAAATTTTCTCTATTCTTTGATATTACCATTCACGTGTTACATCATACAATGCTGCATGCAGTAGATATAAATGTCTGTGTTATATTACCTCTATTTGATTGTATGAAAGTACTTCAAACAGTGGAGGAAAGCATATTATTAAAAGCCAAGTATATGCTTCAGAATAATTTTGCACCAAAATAAATGTGTCTTTTAATTCCATTCCTCAAATATTCCTTGAAGGAGATGGTTCACACAAACATAAACACACGCACACACACACACACACACACACACATATACTGCATAATGTCTAGCCCAGTGGTTTGCAGCTGGAATATGATGAATAAATAAAATAAATCAATGAATGAAATAAGACTGAGAAAATTAGTTTGATTTTTTTTATTTTTAAATACCTTCTCACAGTGATTGTGCTGTTATAAAGTATCTTTTATTTCTGAACTTAAAAAATACAATAAAATGAAGACTGAGCTGCAAGTATAAACTTATATTATTAATTATATTCACTTATTTTATATGTTTTCTCCAAATATCCAAAGTTAATTTAGTTTTTCTCTACTTTATAAATAATATCTTTCTTCAAAAATAACCCTAGATTTACAAAAAATTAGTAGGTAAAAACAGAGGATGAAAAACCATGGTCAATTTCTGTGGTTAGAGCAAGATCATTGATGATATTATCTGGGATGAGTGGATGTGGCATGGCATAGCTTTACTTTTCATACACAGTAAACCAACTTCTCTGAAAGCAATACTAAAAACTTATGTAAATAGACATTGAGTGACATAGACAGGGATAGAAATTTCTTAAAGTAATGGTACTAATTATGCTTAATAAATTATCATGTTTTTCTATTTTTAAACTTTATCATTCACAATTCTTTGAAAACCATAACAAATTTGTGTAAAACTATAAACATGAAAGTCAAAATTAAAACATTTCTCACTTCTTTACACCCACATATTTGAGGCCTAAGGTTTCAGGGACTTTGCATAATATATATATTTGATGTAACAAATGGAACCTGAATTTTCTTAATTATCAGTTTCATTTTAAGAAATTAATCAGCAATAGCTTCTTATGAATTCAAATTTTTATTTTGCAGTAGGTACTGATTCACATGCAGTTGTAGGAAATAACACAGAGCAACTTCATTTTCTCCCTGATTATAGCATCTCACAAAAGAGTACATGACAGCAAATAAGATACTGACCTATATTTAAACAAGATAATGGAATATTTCCATATCCACAAAGAACTTTCACACTGCTCTATGAAGCAAATAAGGCCATTCTTCCTTCCTTATCCTCTGAAAGCCAGTAGTCTGTTCTCTATTTCTATAATTTTGTCATTTCCATAATGTTGCACAAATGCAATGTCATAAACAATCTTCTTTTAGGACTAGGTTATATTTTCACTCAGAAAAATTCCACTGATTCCTGCAGGTTGCTACATACATCAAAAATTGTTCCTTTTGATTTTTCAAAGCATTTATTATACGGGTATAACACAGTTTGGCCATTCATCCATTGAGGATCATCTTGTTTGTTTCAAGCAATGGTTACTATAAATAAAATCATGATAAACTGTGTACAGGTTTTTACGGGAACATAAATTTTCTTTTTTTTTTTTCAGATAAATGTAGTTGTTGGGTTGGATGTTGGTTGCATATCCATTATTTCAGAAAATTAACAAAATATCTTCCAGAGAAGCTGCACCATTATATAATCCTAAAATTTTCAGTGCATACTTGCCAGCATTTGGCATTGCTGCTTATTTTTCTTTGTTTTAGCCATTCTGAAAGGTGTGTTGTGACATGCCATTGTGATTTTAACTGGCTTGATGGCTACTGATGTTGAAATATTTTCATGTATTCTTCTGCCTCCTACTTAGTCTCTCCAGTGTAATGTCTGTTCATGGCTGACACATTTGCTGATTGCATAGTTGTTCCATTTTTGTCACTGCTTTCATTTTGTTGTTGTTCTATTTTCTTTATTGTTTTTAAGAGTTCTGTTTTGTGAGTTCTTTACTTGAGAACTCTGGTCCTTTATCAAGTACTATGTGAATTCCAAATATTTTCTTTTAGACTGTAGCTTGTATTTTTGTCCTCACAACAGGGTCTTACATGGAGCAATTGTTTTTCTTTTTATGAACCATGCTTTTAGTGTATAATTTAGTAACTCTTTTCCTAGCCTTAGATTCTATTTTTCCTATGTTGTTTTTCCTCTCCAAGTTTTACAGATTTATATTTTACTTTAAATTTATGATTTATTTGGAGTTTATAAGAGGTGTGAGGCTTAGGTCTACATGTTGTCTTTGTTTTGTTGTGTGTTTTGTGTTTTGCCAATGGATATCCAATAGCTCCAGTTTCATTTGTTGAAAAGGCCATTTTTCATCCATGGAATTACTTTTGCACCTTTGCCAACAATCAATCAGACATATTTGGGAGGACCTATTTTTTGGTTCTCAATTCGCATTCATTGATCTGTGTCTATGATGCTGCCAGATCCACCCTTGCTTGCTACAGTCATTGAAATATTTTTTAAGGTTCATTATCATTATACACATAGCAGTCCCTTTAAATTTAAATCTATAGGTGAATGATTTCATTTTAATAATTTTTAGGATATTCAATATTTTTATTCATAAGAGTATTTTTTTCTTTTCACTAAAAGATGAGCCTTACAATCTCCCAATGACTAGAAATAGCATAGAACCAAAGCTAAGGAAAAAGGCCAAAACCTGATAAATATTAGGAAAAGATGTCTTTGGTTACAATGTCCCTGTCTTTGTCAGCATAAATTAATTTTAAATGAGAAAATATAAACTCCTATAAGAATAGACCATATGCATGAATATAGTCCAACAGACTAAAACCTTCAAAGAGGTCTTTTGAACTGTGAAATTCCATGTGTTCCAAGGCTTTGAAAGCATTATGAGTCTTTCTGCCTTAAGTCCATAAATTTTTATTGTCTATTGTAAAGCTCATAAAACTTTCTTGAATGATTTCCAATCATTTATTCTCCACAGAAACTAATCTGCTGAATTGTCTTTCCAACATTTACTTTGCTTTTAACTGTGCGAATTATATCTAAGTACAAAATACTCAGCAACCATACATACTGCTCTAATTGTGCTTTAGAGCTGACACAGAATAATGAAACACTAATTGCAATTAGAACATTTTATTTGTTCAGAATTAATTTCTTGGCTTGTCCTACTTGCATAATTACAACCATAAAGCCTACTATCAAATGTCACCAAGGAGTCCATTGGCCACAATCTGAAACAATGTTCTCACCAGCCCCTTCCCAATATACATACTGCAGCTCAGAGCACTGTCAGCAGCAACCTCCTGATCTACATACACAGCAAATACTCAACTATACAGTAAAGCTGACCCTGAAAAGTTCAGAAGCCCTCGTGTGTTGGATTTCCTAAAGCCTGACATTGTGCCCTCTGAAAAGGAATGGACTTGGATCAGCTCAAGCACCAAATTGTTCCAATTACTTGCTATCCAGATGTGGAAAAAAAGAAAACTGTCTTCAAACCTCTGTTGTGCCACATGGCTGACAGTGTCCCTCTGCAGTTATTAGATTTGCCAAGTTTTCCCTACGTGTGTAGATGGCTAAGTAAACTATGAACCATCAACTGACCGCATCTCAAAGAAATGTCTTATTGAAAGAAAATAACTCTCTTACCTGTTTGACATCATATGCCAGGAGGACGTATTTTAAATCTGGTGAAACTGAATGTTTTGATGCTTTGAAGGTTACCTAGAGAAAAAGAGAAAGAATTATCCTAAAAAGCTTAATAACAAAGAAATTAACATGTATTTAGATATACGATGACCTTAAAAATTTTATGGAAAATACTTATAATAAAAACTATATATAAATTTCACAACAAAAAGTATGTTTAAATTCTATTATTCCTTGAGCTTTTTAAAATCCTCTTGCATAAATATCAAGAAATTTCAATTCTCATTATAACACTGTCAAATAGACATTCTCATTTTTATTCTATATTTGCATATGTATACAGGCATGTATGATTATGTACATGGATATAAAAACTTGGAGAGGGGTGGAGGTCATGATACTGAATATAAAAACTTATAAATAGGCAGGACTCTTGGTACAGCAGGTTAAGCTGACACTTGGGAGTGAATCCAGGAGTTGGGAACTCAATCCTACTCTCCTATTTGGTGGAAAGAAACCAACTACTTGAGCCATCTCACCTGCTGTCTCCCGGGTTCTGTCTTGGTGGGAAGCTGAGTCAAACCCAAGCACTCCATACAATGTGGGACATGAGCATCTTAACAAATAAGGAAATGCTCACCCCATTTTTTATTCTAGAATGAGGTGACACTTCATTCCACAAAATGTAATAAGTGTTCCGATAGAGTAAGCAGAAAAGTTAAGTATACTGAAAATAGATCTTTGTAAAAACTGAGAGTGGGAATGCAGGAGGGAGGGGGAGGAAAGGTTGGAGGGTGGGTGGGAGGGAGGGTAGGGGGGAAAGTGCCACTTTGTTCCTAAATCAGTATATGTGAAATATATGAAACTTGTTTAACATAAATAAATTAAAAAATAAGAATAAAATAATTTATGTTTAACATAAATAAAATTAATAAAATAAGAATGGCTGAAAAAAGCATAAACAAAGAACAAAAGCTTCTTTCCTTATAAAGTGGTGAGAGGGGGACAGAACAATAGGAAAGTAACTGGCTAATACCTGCCTACTCCTGGTTGCATTGTTGTGTAAAGATTAAAGCAGTGGGACCTCATGGCTTAACAGGTTAAACCACTGCCTGCAGCGCTGGCTTCAGGTTTGATTCTCAGCTGCTCTACTTCCCATCTAGCTCCCTGATAATGTGCCTGGTAAAGCAGCAGAAGGCAGCCCAACTCCTTGGCCTCCTGTACCCAAGTAGGAGATCTGGAAGAAGCTCCTGGCTCCTGGCTTCAGCTTGGCTCAGCCCTGCCTGTTGTAGCCATTTGGGGAGTGAACCAGCAAATGGAGGATCTCTGTCACTGTGCCTTTCAAAATAAATAATTTTTTTTAAAAAGAATTTTGCCTTTCATTTTTAAAAGACTCATTTCAATAGTAATAAAAGCAACAATAGTAACAATATTAGTAGCTACCATTGGTTAGTCATCTATCATGAGTTGCCAGTTGCTAAGAAATTTGTATTTAATCACAATCCTAATAGTCCTCAGAGTGTTACTGTGAAGTAGATACCCTCATTCCCCAGCCTCCCCTTCATCAGCTTATTGTGCATTGAAATTTGATAGCAGTTGGTCTGTGGGAGAATGTAGGGAGACACTGAAGACACAAGGTCATCTCTCCTAGCATTATTGTGTCTAGAGCTGTATTGTTCTATAGAGAAATTATTAAGGGGACAGTATCAGAAAGCCTATTGTTGTTTACAAATCAGTTAAGAAGGTAATGTCCTGTATCCTACTGGGATTAGACTTCTCTAACTTCCTAGTTGTTAATCTTTTTCAAGGTCAAAGAGAAGCAAACACATCAACAGCATCCAGGAGGCCCCCTTGCATAAGCCTTGCATCATCTCACCAGAGAGAGTGTTTTTGCAGAAAGCATCCCAATTTGGGTTCTAAATTATTTAAACAAAATCTCACCTTCCTTCTCCTCATCCACCCTCATGTGATGTCTCTCACACAAATTAACTTCACGCTCTCACAGGTGTGTCTAGGCCTTCATTAACAACATTTTAGTATCTTTTACAGTTTCTACAATTAGCCAGGCTGGCACTTTATTAATTATCAGTATACTCTCTCCAGCTTATGCAGCACACAAACTGGGAAAGCTTCCAAATATCTTTGCAAGGACCCAGGCTGCTGAATCTTTGAATTTACAGAGTGGTATGCAGATAACTGGGGCTGTGAAGAGCCTTATGATGATGGGGTAAAAGAGGCACCCTAATGGCTTATTCAAGGGACTTTGAGTGTCTCTGGCAAATCCCTCTTAGGATAAGCCACTAATGGTCTCTCTGTTGCATCCGGGGGATTAGATTTTTCAACCAGCCACAGGAGACCTCTTGGTTGACATTGACCCTAATTGCAGACATTAATGTAATTCTGCTTAGTCTCTGCTCAACATGGCTTCAAATTAGTGCTTTGGGAAGCAAACTATTGCCAATAATGCTATATATTACCTACATATTTGATAAGCTAATTACTATTGAGATAGTAGAAGATGCAGAAACAGTAGTTATATGTGTTTATTGCCATTATTCAGCAATGATGTCTACCTATACATATTTGACACCAGAGTGCAGAGAGCATAAAAATTCGCGAATCGTGACATGTAGGAACATTACAGCTAGACAAGGTAGGATAAACACGGAAAGTAAATATGCAGGGGGCTAGCTAGACCGATTAAACAATAAAGACAAGACATTTGACCAAGTTAAAAAAAGGAAAGCTTGCTTTCAGACAGCTTATGAGTGTGTTTTGGTGCCTCATTTGAATGTATCATTCATTTCCACCAAAACTCAGTTGTTCCACATTCACTATGTGATAAGCACTGCACTACAGTAGATACTGAAGATGGTAGAAAGGAATCAAACTGTGTTTTCCATCCCATATTGAGCAGGATAAATCAAGCACCAGGAGTCTCCGTAGTCCATGGTTGTGGTGGTGGTGGGGGGACCCAAATCTTTTATTTTTTGTTTTTGTTTTTTAAGATTCATTTTTTTTTTCACTTGAAATGCATAGTTACAAACTGAGAGAAGTCTTCCATCTGTTAGTTCACTCCCAAAATGGCCACAGTGGCCGGAGCTAGTCTGATCCGAAGCCAGGAGCCAGGAGCTAGGAACCAGGAGCCAGGAGCTTATTCTGGATCTCCCACATGGGTGCAGGGGCCCAAGGACTTGATCCATCTTCTGCTGCTTTCCAAGTACATTAGAAGGGAGCAGGATTAGACGTGGGGCAGCTGGGATGCCAACCAGAGCCCATATGGGAAGCTGGCTCTGCAGGCAGTGGCTTTACCCTCTATGCCACAGCGTTGGACCCGGGACCCAAATGTTAAATGCCTTAAAGGGCTGGGTTTGGAGAGTCAGGATGAACCTGCTTTGGCAAGAAGAGGACAGATGGAGTGGTCCAGCTGTATAAAAGGGGCAGTGGTCCCTCAGCTAAAGATAACTGTTTTGTGAGACAAATAAACATTGGCATATTTCAAAATGTTTTAAAAGCTAAAAGTCAAGACTGTAAGTTAAAATGTTATTTAAAATTTGTAATCTAGGAGCCAATGCCATGCTGCAATGAGCTAAGCTGCCACCTGCAATGTCAGCATCCCATGCTGGAGCACTGCTTCAAATCCCAGCTGCTCTGCATTTGATCTAGCTCCCTGCTAATTTGCCAGGGAAGGTGCAAAAGGTGGGTCCCCCTACCACCGCTGTAGGGAGACCCAGATAGAGCTCTGGGCTCCTGGCTTCGGCTCAATCAGCTGCAGCTGTTGCAGTCATTTGAGGCGTAAGACAGCAATTAGATCTCTCTCTCTCTCTCTCTCTCCCTCTGTTTCCCTCTCCCTCTCTCCCTCTCCCCCTCCCTTTCTCCTTCTATCCCTCCCTCCCACCACCTCTTTCACTCTGCCTTTCAAATAAATGAAAAGTAAATCTTTAAAAATTTTTTTATGTATTTGGTAGTGACATAAGTGAAAATTTCATTATCCAATGATTGCTAGTTAGATGAAATTATACACTCCAAACATAATGCACAAAAAGCTTTAAAAACTACTGGGGAGGTTGGGGACGGTGCCCTGGATGATTGCTCACGTTAATAGTGCTTGTGTTGCGACCCCCACTGTGGTGTAGCTGGTAAAGCCGCCACCTGCAGTGCCAGCATCCCATTTGGTCACCAGTTTGAGTCCTGGCTGCTCTGTTTCTGATCCAGCTCGCTGCTATGGCCTCGGAAAGCAGTAGAAGATGGCCCTGCACTCACACGAGAGACCCAGAAGAAGCTCCTGACTCCTGCCTTCAGATCAACACAGGTCCAGCCGTTGTGGCTAACTGGGAGTGAACTAGCAGATAGGAGACCTCTCTGCCTCTGCCTCTCTGTAACTTTGCCTTTCAAGTAAATAACTAAATCTTTGAAAAAATAGTGCTTGTGTGTCGCTCCCCCTCTTCGTGGAGGAACGACACTAAACCCTGCCTAGGCTTCATATCCGAGTCACGGCACCATTATGTCGCTCCCCCTCTTCGTGGAGGAACGACACAGGACCCTGCGCTGTTCTTTTGTCTGCTCCGCCCTCCCCGGGTTTGCTGCTGGTTCTTCCCGGGTTGGCTACTGACCCTTCCACCTCCGTGGAAGGGCGGTTCCCCCTAGCCACTTTCCCCACTTCCGCGGGGGAGCGGCACACCACCGGCCGGCTCTCTCGGGGGCTGCTCACATGTTCCTCAGGTGTTCCTGGTGCATGTTGTCTCTCTCCTCCTTTATAGTCCTCTTCCACCAATCCCAACTCTGCTACCCACACGCCGAGTACGCTGCTCTCCTCCAATCAGGAGCAGGTCCTGCTGCTTATTGGTTGAACTGGAGGCAGCTGTGTAGAAGCTGTTTCCTCCTCTCCCAGCGCCATATTGTGGGAGAGCAGATGCATAGAATAAGTAACTTAGTCTAGTCCGAGTTGCTCCCAGTTGCTCCCCACACTTGTGTTATTCTCAATGTGAATATGGTGGAGCCCATCATTGTTTCCACATGTGTTAACATTTAAACCAAAGGTGCCCCAAAATCCAGATCCCAACTCAGAGTCCTCA